GTCTCGCATCACAGTATCGCTGAATTTGACAACTACAGGCCTGGAAGATTTATCAGAAGGGAGGCCCAGACGATGTCAACGGCTTATGGATGTTTTACTGAAACCTGGGACTAGGAGTTTAGTGCTGATAGGTGTACTTATGACGGCGGTAGTATCCTCAGATTTTTCTTCAGGAACTCCATGGAGTAGGATCATCTTTCTGCGGCGACACATTTCACTACGATCCAGTTCTCTTCCCAAAAGATCTACTTGGTTATGCAAAGATGTTAAAGCAGCCAAGATGAATTTTCTAAAAGCATTAAAATCACCTGGTAGACAAGATGAAGTTGTGGCAGCAGAACTAGATTGTTGTAGTTCCCGCTGAAAGTTATCCATTTGACTTTGGAATGACTTTGACATCTCCATAAGTGAACCTTTCAGTGCTTCCATGGTGAAAGTAGTTGTAAAGTGCAGTGATGTTAGAGAAAATACTTGGAAATAAAAGCTGGTAGGTAGTAATTTATTACATATAAATAATAAACATGAAATTCAAACTGTAACTATTTTTAAAATATATTTAAATCTAAGATGTCTAAAATGTGTACTACTCAATTGACCTACCCTCACAGAATCCTTACTTAATGCTTTTTGTCATTTTTTTCAAGTGAACCACGAGCGTATTGATATAAAATGATAAGCGTGAAATAAAAAATAAAAACATTAGTAATAAAATTAATAATACAGCGAAAATAATAATCACAGACTACTAAATATTATTAGGGAAACTTCCTCGACGTTCAAAGAGATATCGATAATATAGTGTTTCGACTTTTACATATAAAGTTACTGGAATTTCGACTTTAGAAGTATATATAGGGTAAATTACACAAATTACAGTAAGTGTTAAAAATACATCTTTCGGAAAAAACATCCTCATTTGTTCTTTTGTTTTTTTTTAAGTATTATACTTTTATGATTCGGAACACTTTTCAGTTCGACCCCGTACAACTTTACGCTGAATCTAGCAACTTGTATTTTGTTAACTTTACGTTTACGCCTTAATTGGTATTAACACAAAGGCCTCCAGTCACCTTCACCTACTTATGTTTGCTTTTGAAATAAAGTAGGTACTAAGTCTCCTTTTTCTGTTTGTATCGAAACATATTAAAATGTAATTAAAGAATTTTACTTCATTAAGTATTCGCTGATATAATCCAACAACGATAACAACGATATGTAAGTATAATTGTGAAGTTATATATATATATATATATATATATATATATATATATATATATATATAAATTGATTATGTGATCTTTTTTTTTCATTTATTTTATCAACAGTCATATTTATTAATATATAGTTACATTACATTGTATAGTTTACATTTTACATTTACAACGTGACAAAAAAGACCAAGTAGTGCCAATAAATATACATTAACAAACCGTATTATTTACATTGTGGGACAACATAGTCGGGCAACAAATTTTACTGCAAAAACTTTTTTTAAGTTTGTTTTAAGAAGATTAGAACTAGTGCTAAAAATATCTATTTCTGAAAAATGTTTCTTATACATGTTGGTGGAACGACCTATATAAGAGGTACGTGTATAGTTTTTATGAAACCGTGGAGGAATGAATAGTAGTAACGAACGTTAGGAGCGCACTGGAAGACGAACGCTTGCCGGAAGTGAAAACATAGACAAAAGAGTCGGTGAATCTATTAATGAATTTAGAATTTTATATAGAAGAATAATGTCAAACACTTTGCGTATGTTAAAAATCATTATATGATTCGTTCTCAATACCGTAACGATAGTTAAGGGATTTCAAAAATTTTTTGTACTTTTTTCTATCCTTTCAATATGTATTTGATAAGAGGGCTCCATACCATGCTGCAAAAATCAAGGATTGAACGTACAAAAGAAAAGTATAACAGTTTGAGAGTTATACCCTTATTAAATTGTTTTGTTATTCTTAAAATAAAACTTAAACTTCGAAAAGCTTTACTTATAATATGGTCTATATGAGAGTTAAAAGATAATTTTCAGTCTACGATTAGGCCAAGATCTCTTGTTGTAGTAACCCTTTTTAGAATGATGCCATTTAGACAATATTCAAAATTTATTTGGTTGAATTAACGTGAAAAAGTAAGCACATGACATTTGTCAGTATTAAAATATAATTGATTTATAACACAATATTTTTCTAAAGCAAGCAAATTTTGTTGCAGTTTGAGACAGTCGTCCCTTGACTTAACAATTTTATATATTTTGGCATCATCAGCGTAAAGAAGATGTTGACTCTCATTTAATGCTAGTCCAATATCGTTAATATATAAGGAAAACAGGAGCGGGCCAAGATGAGATCCTTGAGGAACACCTGAAGGTACAGGTAGAAATTTTGAGGTGAAACCCTTCATACACACAGCTTGACTTCTATTTTTTATGTACGATTCAATCCATTTAAGAAGGTTGCCATGTACACCTGCCTTCGCGAGCTTTGCTATTAGTAAACTATGGTTAATTTTGTCAAAGGCTTTAGAGAAATCAGTGTACACGACATCCACTTGTAGATTGTCATCCATGGCTCTTCGCAAATATTCCATGAAAGTTATCATATTCGTATCAACACTTCTGCCCTTGAAAAATCCATGTTGTTGTTGGGATATATATTGACGAGCAGAGAGCGATAAGTAGTAATAATTTTCTCAAGGACCTTCCCCAATACACATAATTTCGAGATAGGTCTATACTCGGTTACTATATCTTTGTTATTATTTTTTGGAATAGGCGTTATTAAAGAGTATTTCCATATGTTGGGGAACACTTCACTTTTGACAGATGTGCGGAAAATTAATGTTACTGGCACTGCGAGTTCATTTGCACATTTCGAAATAAGAAGAGGATGAATAAAATCTGAACCCGCGTCTTTATTGATATTAAGTTTTTGTAATTCTTTAGAAACTAAGTCTAAGCTTATATCAGTTAAATTTATATCTAAAGTTGTATGTGAACTTTGATTACTCGAGTAATCTTGGTGACTAACATTGCTGATGGTTGTAAATACGGAGTGGAAATATTCATTGAAGGCATTACAAATATCTGTACCACTAGAAATAACTTTACCTTTGTACAACATCTTTCAGGAAAATCGCTAGTGGAATTTTCGATTTTATAAAAGAACATAAAAACTTAGGATGTGTTTTATTTTATTTTCGGAATGTTCAATAAACTTTTAATAACAGTCACGCGGCATTTTTGAAATCTGCTTCTTAATAATGAAAATGTTTGATAGTCACTCATGTTGCCGTGTACCTTCCATTTTTTATGGTATTTACATTTTTCCTTCGATAATTTAACAAGGGGCTTAGTATACCACACTGGGTATTTTAAATTACAATTGAAATTACAAACAGGAACATATTTATTTAAAATATCATTTAAAGAATTATAAAAGTAGTTTGTCATGCATTCTACATCGGTCATATAACTAAATTTTTCTTCCCAGTTATTAGATTTTAAGGCCTTTTTTATAGATACGAAGTCAGCTTTGTGATACTGTTTTTTTGTACTTCTGCATGGGTTGAGTGTAGGAGCAAAGCCTATTTTAAAATCAATTTCTAATGCCTTATGATGAGGGTCCTCTGTAACAAGTGGAAGTTTGCAAGATGATACTTGACAAGTTTTATTACTAAAAACTAAATCTAAAAGCCTGCCGTTTACGTTAAGTTGATTATTGTGTTGCGATAATATGGATAAACTCATAAAGTCAGCTGTAAGACAAGCTAAGCTATCGTTATTTGTGTGTATATCTAAGGAATTAGTACATGTGTTATAAAACTAATGAGCATGACTTATGTTGAAGTCGCCGAGTACGAGAAATACATCATCGCAATTACGAATTATAAAGTCATTAACTCTATTTTAAAAACAACTCAACAACAATTCGTGATTATTACCGTGCGCAATATAAGTTGATATTATATGCAAGGAGCGAGATGCGTTATGGGAGCGAGGATTTAAGGTGGTGGGACAAGAGTGAATGTGAAGCGGCACCGTAACCCATACTTCTTCAGCGGGCGGTGGCGCGCGCATGTCAGTTCGGTGCGTTGCGCATAGATCGCGGCGCACCGTTATTATTACACCACCTCCGCGCCCGTGTCCGCTACCAGTTAAGTTACGATCGCATCGATATATCTCGTACCGGCTATCAAAGAACTCACAGTTATGAAAATTATCATTAAGCCAAGATTCTGTTACACATCATAGTTATTACAAAGAACAGCTTCTAAAAAAGAGTGCGATTTAGTGCGTAGTCCCCTCAGTGTGTAAATAGAAAGGTTAATGTTATCGTATTTTATAGTATAGTATTTTTATTATGATATTTATTAGAGTTCCACCAACACAAAAAATATGTAGCAATAAATACAAACACTTAGGATTAAATACAAAAGTTCTTTTCATACTCATGAACCTTAAACTATTTTTAACACGCTCAGCGCCATGTGTATTGTTAATGATACACACTGTCAAAACATTGTGTATCACACACGATACACGGCCTACCTTTTAGTTTTTGCCTTGTGTATCCCTAATGAACACGCTTTCTATACATTTTCTACTACTATAAAAATCCTCTGGCCCAGGAGAGTTTTTTTAGTTGTTTTGGGTTGGGGATAGGACATATGGTTCTTGAAATATTGAAGATTTAATTTGGAAGAAAAAATTGTTTTGCACTAGTTTTATTTATAAAAAAAATCAACATTATAAACACATTTCTTACAACTAATAATCATCTTTAAAAAAGAAAAATCTCCTGTAATCCAAAACTAAAAAATAAAAACTGAAAAGTGGATGTATTTCAAAATCAGCTCAAATTTATTTCTCGGTATAACGGATCTTGATAGCGATAATCCATATAGCCTATGGATTCTCTAACAATCCTTTATGCTTGGGAGTTTTACAAGGCCCATCCAACTAATAAGGGCAAGAAATTTTGTCATATCATCCACCGTTACTGGGACCCGTGCATGGGTTCGGCTGCTTGGAGTTGCATCCGTTGTGGCGACTGTTGAGCAGCGTATAAATTGGTTTGGTCAACTACTTCCTCTAAAATATCTCTAGTCAGAAACAGTTCAAAATAGTCCAATGGCTTTGCATGAGCTAGAATGCCAGAGAATATATCCTTCATCCCAGAGAATGGAACAGTGTTCTCAATACTTTCTGGATCTTCGTGTGATGGCATTCTCCCATTTTGTGTTTTCCAACTTTCGTTTTAGCCAAGTCATCTCTGTTATTTCAGGAGATGTTGTACCAGAGAAACTTGGAATATTAGCTTCTGAGCTTCGAGTCTCTGCCAACGGTGTCTTTAGTGTTTTACGTCTCAGTATATTAGGAAGAGAGGCCAACATATCATCTGAAAATGTGGATTGTCTCCTTTGTGGAGCTAGTAGATTCCAGGTTTCCGATGCTGAATCTGATTCGCTGCTTTCCTCTTCGGAGCCGTCATCACAGGGATTATAGTTAGGATCATATGTAGAGTCGTCGCTATCAAAGTCTAAGTGCAAATGTTTCTTTCTTCTAAATGCACTTTACATGGATATTTCACAATTATTCTGAATACAAATAAAAAAAAAGTAGGAAAAATATTATATAACAAATCATTGAAGTTTTCCTAATTTTTTTTCAATTTGTCAACATTTTTCTTCATTTGTCTTCCATATTTCTCTAAAATCTAAAAAGAAAGAAAAATTAAATTAGTGTGTATCTATAACGATACACGTGGCCCGGGAAAATGGTTTTGAGTCAAAACTTTTTCGTAGGCCTCGTGTATCATTATCGATACACAGCGAAAAATAAGGGGGAGTGGTGGGGAGGGGAAGAAAATAAATTATTATATACTCTAGGACACTAAAAAGCTCATATAGAATACTTTTAAATTTTTGTCTCAAATCGTCTGAACATCGAGTATTAGCTTGGCGCTGAGCGTGTTAAAGGGATAATAATATAATAAAAGTGGGGCTATAGATGGAAAGAAATGTAGTCATTTTATTTTCATAAGATTGGCTTGGCAAGAAACTAGTAAGGCTTTAGAAGTATCGTTTATATATATACTTGTAATTATTTTCTTTGACGAGAAGCCGAGCTTGCTTACATAAAAGTTTGTTATCCGGTGGTAAGTGATCACTTATGAAGATTGGTTTAGATGGGCCGTCCAATCCAGCATCGGCGGTGGTTAAACGTTGTCTTTGCGTGAACCTAACGATGATATTGGGTATTGAAGATAAATCGCGTGAAGGTTGACCATTGTACGAAGCTGCGTCTTTTTTGTTTTTCGGAATAAAACGCTGCACGCAGTGTATGCTATCAATACCTGTCGAAGCTAAAGAAAACCCAATCTTATTTGCTATGTTATGGACAATATTCATCTACAATACTCACAATACTCTCAATACTCTCCTTACGATATCTCTCTATAATACGACAATACTCTCCTTTCACGGTAGGTATCCCAGATACTTCCAAGTTATTTATTCTTCCCTGCTGCTCCTTAAAGCGAAGTTGTTGAGAAAGATTATTAATAATTGATCGTGATTCTTCAGCATCATTCATGATTGATTTTATCTTGTGATTATTAATATTATTATTTGATATCAACTGGTCGACTTCTTTTTTGATTGACGATTGCTCCTCCGATAGTTTTTGAATAGTGACGTTTATTTCACGTATTTCTTGTATAAATATAGACAGGTCATCGCGTAATACGTTCAAAGTACTATTTATTTTTTCGTTTTGGGTTTCAAGGACAGACTGAAAAGAACTCATTATCCTATTTTGAAAGTCAGACAGTATTTCTTGATAGTTACAGTAACAATCTCGTGATTTTCGTTTCCTTTGAACGATATTAGTGGGAACATCATCGTATATTTTGGATAAATCTGGCTGTGATGAGGAATATCCACTTGGTGGCGTTCTTGAAACACTCATTTTTATATTTTTTTCCCCGGTAAATTGTGAAAGAAGGTAAAAATATAATGACGCGACCGAAAAATGATGCACAAGCGATAGTTATATTATTATTTACTATTTTCTACACAGGTTAAGTTATTGCACTTGAGACAAGGGCGAGAACAATGTTTGCTACGATTGGCACTGGACGCCATATGCCACACTCAAACGCATTAATTACAATTACTTTAAGGCAATTACAGCAGAATTGTACGTAACAAAATACTTTGTATTTATTTATAGGAAAAATAGCGAAACTTAACAAGCGTCCGACTATGCAAGAGCGCACTTAAAGACTGATATGACATATTCTCGATTCTCGATTCAGTGTGGCTTTGGCTTCCATAGTTTATAAAGCATGTTTACGACTTATTTGTTACTTTATGCTTATTATGTACTTTTATAATTTTATATGGGCCTTTACATATAGGTAAATCTTACAGAGCCGGTGATGGTGTTTTGTATACTCGTACACTAAGCCACAGATTTTATAAGAAACTTCGTGTGAACATTGTTTAGATTTTTCTTTACTATTAACTATACTTTGTGTTTGTGCGGTAGACGAGTACCCTAGCATTTTGTTTAGTTGTTTAGCAGCTAAGCCGATGCCTTCCTCCATCCTACCCACATTCCTTTCCACACGCACTGAAAGGGGGCTGGGGGAGCGCCGCACCACTTTGAATGGCCTTTTTCCTACTAAAACACATTTGATATTGTACAGCTCGAATATATTCATTGTAAGTGGTATTATTATTTGTTTCATATAAAGAATTAGGAATGTTAAGCTTATGACCACATAATAATTCATGAGGGGTGAAAAGTGAAAAAAGTGATTAGTAGTTCCATGAGGAGTAGTATTACTATAAGTAATAGTAGTAGTAGTAGTAGTAGTAGTACTATAAGCTAATATTGCGGTAAATAAATAACGTAATAAGTAACGTTTTGGTTTTCATTAACAAACGATTTTAAGTACTCTTTTAAAGTAGCATGTGATCATTCTAGAGCTCCATTTGTTTGATCACCTAAAGATTTGAGTCAGTTCAGTAAATCTTTTAAGGGAACCGGAAAGAGACATAAAATGTACAAGATTTCTGGCTAACGTATTTTAATTTATGCTGGGAACTGAAGCGGGTACCGGTAGACTGGTACAAAGCCGTGATAGTCCCAGTATATAAAGGAAAAGGGTCGCAGCAGGACTGTAAAAACTACCGTGGCGTCAGCCTAATTATGGACAGTTGTTTGCAAAATTTGAAAGTTGAAGAATGCGGATTAAGAATGGGTGAGTTAACTGTCAAATGCCTTTTGTACGCCGATGATCAAGTTATCCTTGCGTCATCGGCGGCCGAGTTGCAAATGATGGTTACATTAATGAACAGATCATTAAAGGAAAGGGGTATGAAAGTGAACGCAAGTAAGACGAAGGTTATGGTTTTTGAAAGAGAAGAAAGTAAAACGATTTGTGAAATAAGAATAGAAGGGGAGTTGATCGAGCAAGTAGATGAGTTTGTATATTTGGGCTGCGTATTTAGCAGGGATGGGAGATATGATAAGGATATAGAACGACGAGTGAATGCGGGAAATAGAGTAAATGGGGCCCTGCACTCTATTGTGAAGAGTCAAAATGTGTCAAAAAAGCACGTATGGCAATTCACAATGCTGTGTTAGTCTCTACTTTAACGTATGGTAGTGAAAGTTGGGTGTGGCAGAAGAAGCACGAGAGTAGAATCAACGCAGTAGAAATGCGGTCCTTAAGGAGTATGTTAGGGCTGAATCTGAACGACAGGGTAAGAAATTGTGTAATAAGAGAAGAGTGTGGTTTGCAAAATGATGTTGTGACCAGGATTAAGAAAGGAATGCTTCGGTGGTTTGGTCATGTGGAAAGAATGAATGAGGAAAGAGTGACAAAGAAAATTTATGTTACAGAAGTGAACGGCAGAGTCGGAAAGGGACGTCTTCCTTGCGTGCTACGAACGGCTGAGTAAAGTCTGGATATTAGAACAGCAGAGCAGTGATTAATTTTTCTTTTAAAACCTCAGAAGTAATTTGATTTTCTTGGGACCAGTGGAAAGTAGCACCCTTTTTTAATAAAGAAGTAAGTGGTTTAGTTAATTTGGAAAAATTATCAATAAATAGGCGATAATAGCCTAATTAGGCATAGAAAAAAAATTATTTCTTTAGGACTCTTAGGAAATGGAAATTGTGATACTTCTTTTACCTTGTCTGGATTAGGAAAGATACCCTTATGGGTGATTATATGATCAAGATAAGTTACTTCATGTTTTAAATATTTGCAGTTGTCTGGTTGCAATTTTAAATTATATTTGCTGAGATTTTCGAATACGAATTTTAATTTTTCCATATGTTGATTCAAATTCTGACTTTATGAAGGTATAAACATAGTAGTGTAGATCTTGAAATCCTGATAAAACGGTATTCATGAGCCCCTGGAAAATAGAAGGGGCTTTTTAACACAAAGGGCATTCTAGGAAATTTATAGTAACCAGACATACTCGAATTAGTACAGTAGAACTTTGATAACTTAAACCTCGATAACGTGATAACCTCTACAAATCCATAAAATTTTGTAGAAGCCGGCTTAGGCACGGCTAAGGATTAATGTCGACCCTGATGATTTCGGGAACCCCGGATTTGGATGGCAATGCCTTTTATGACCTTCTGTTTAGCATCCCACTTCTGACACCAATTTTTTAGGAGGCCAATCTCGTTTAATTTTTAAAAATAACTAGTGAGTAACCCAAAAGGTATATTAGAAAAAAGTTCACACACAAAATTGATATTATTTCTGACTTCCGAACTTTATACGTCTCGGAATTTTTTGTATGATCTACCCGGAGCTCCGAATCTGATTATTAAAATGGAATTAAAATGAATATAAAAAAGAACAGTGTAATTGCTGACTAAGATTATATGAAAGAAAAATACTGTGGATTAAATAAATGCTTACTAAGATTTTACTGCGTTGTAAAAAGGGATATAACACACACAACATTCGAACCATTTGATCGGTAGGCAAAAATTTTTTGCCCTTAAATCACATTCAATTTGGTATAATTTCAAATTAAAGTAGAAGCCCTATTTACTCGTATTTTCAAAAACTGCCATAACGGTATGTCGTTATTTATATATTTGAACTTAAATTAGGTTACTCTTTGAAAAAGAACATTGTATATCGACACCTCCGATGAACTGTGAGTGCAACTATGAACACTGAAAATA